CAGTGGAGTGTGCTTGATCCCTTCCCACCGTATGGCTGGTGATTGGGGGGGAGTGACACGAGTGTGGTGGCATGTCCCTACCATTAAAGTGTGACATACCTAATCCATCTGCCGTGAAAGCTGGGTTTAGCGATAATCCGTGCATGGCCAACAGAGGCCGGCTGTGGGAGGCCAGTGGCTGATGATAAGGACAGCCACACCCAGCAGAGAGGACCCAAGGGGCCTGCAGGCTTGTGGCCCTGCACATGGCCTCCCTGGGACCGGGGCAGTGTGGAGGGCAGGGGAGAGAAGTGTAGGCTGGGTAGATGGTTGGCGCTGAGTGAGAGAGCAGGCTTTGGGAGTGACTAGGCGTACCCTGTAGCAGAGGGGCAGAGGGGCAGAGGGGCGGGATCCTGCCGACAGGGTCTGTGGCTGCTAACAGCAACCGAAGCTGCTGTTCATGGTGTCCCCAGTGGGTCTGTGGGCACTGTGGGTACCTGTGTGCTGAGCATCGCCAGTGAAGGCACATGGCTCTCTGCCAGGCCTGAAGGTGCTGAACCCCCCTGAAGGAGAGAACAGCACAGGTCCCAGAATCTATGGGGGAGTCGTGGCGAGGCTTCCGACCTGTAAGCTGAAATGGGAGAGTTGGTGGCAGAGGAGGGTGGGCTGGGAGGGCTGGGAGGGCTGGGGAGTGTCTCAGGCCGAGAGGAGAGCGTGTGCCAGCAGGAAAGAGGTGAGGTGCGTGTGTGGGGCAACCGCTCACGGCTCCATCCGTGTCCTTCAGAGCTCCAGCCGCCCCGCGGGATGCTCGGCAACAGGGCCGACTTCAAGGGGCACGGAGCTGAAGGGCACCCTTGGCTGTAGCAAGCAGAGGGCCTGGATTCTGACTCGGGATGGCTTGGGTGACTTTGGAGCTCACGGTCTCTCCTGTCCCTGCTGCCTCCAGCCAGGGGGAATCCGTGTCCCCATCGGGCAGGGTGTCGGGCTGTGTCGGGGCCAGCCCGATGGGCCTTCCTAACCCCTTTCTCCACTCACAGATCCTCAAGCTCCTGAAGGGCAAGGTGGTCGTGGGGCACGCGCTGCATAATGACTTCCAGGCCCTCAAGTACTTCCACCCTCGGAGCCAGACTCGCGACACCACATACGTCCCAAACTTCCTCAGCCAGCCTGGCCTCCACACCCGGACCCGGGTCTCTCTGAAGGACCTGGCCCTGCAGCTGCTGCACAAGAAGATCCAGGTGTGTGGCGTAGGAGTGGTCACGGAGAGGGGGAAGGCCTGGGGCGGTGCAGCCTCCTTCCCCAGTCCAGGTTCCAGGGGCTGGGACAAAGCACAGTCCCCCAGATGCACGGGCAGCCCTGGGTGTTTCTCCCCACCAGCCTTCCGCAGCGTCATCGTGACAGCCAGCCGCATTTGCGCTTCCAGCAGTGCCCCGTGTATTCCTGGTTCTGTCCCCGCATCTGCGTGTAGCCCCATCTGCTGCAGCCGGAGAGGCGGAGCCTTCGGTCACGGCCGCCAGTAGCTCTTGCTCCCGCTGTGCTTGACACTGATTCCGTCCGCTCCTCAAGCCTTTGGCGATGTTTGCCGTGTTTTATGTTTGAGGTCACAGGCTTGGGAAGCGAGGTGGGTTGTGCAGCTGAGCGTCCAGAACGCCTCTGTCTGATCAGCACCCTGTCTTCTCACTGTACCGAGCTGCACACCCCATTATGAAAGTACGTGTTCCTGGGCCTGCACACGGAGCCCAGGGTGATGGGCCTCTCGCCAGGACTGTGGGCAGTGATGTGGCTTTTGTCTGCAGGTGGGCCACCACGGGCACTCGTCAGTGGAGGACGCTATGACAGCCATGGAGCTCTACCGGCTGGTGGAGGTGCAGTGGGAACAGCAGGCCAGCAGCCTGCAGACCCACCCTGAGGACAGAGAGCCAGACAGCAGCACGGACATGGACCAGTATATGGAGGACCAGTACTGGCCTGAGGACCTGGCCCCGAGCACAAGTGGGGGAACAGCGGGGGAGGTACAGGGCAGGAAGGAGTGAGGGGAGAGAGGCCTTAGGCGTGGGGGGTCAGGCTTGGAGAGCCTGGGCACTTCATCCTGGGCAGGCCGGGTGTGGCCAGAGTGTCCCCAGGTCCTCTGTCCTGACTCCCTGCTCAGAGCA